TTTTTGTTTGAGGTTCAAGAATTACTCATTCCTTTAAGGCAGTGGTAAAGAAAGCTAGTGCTTCCATGCCTTTCTGGAGTTCTTTTTTGGGAAAAATTTTTGACTCTTAGTTTGGACACTGTCGGTGACTTTTTTTCTGAAGCATAATACTAGTTTTCTTCTTCAGTTTTTAACCTTAACAGCATTTTAGTGATGGTGATTTCTTTGCTAATATGGTGGTGGATGCTGCGCTAGCAGTTAAATACACAGACCAGAAGGGTCAGGCTCGGTATCCGATCAACTCGGTTAATGTTTTGAAGGCACACGGCCGCAGCCAGAAAGAGAGCATACTTGTGAACGGTTACGCTCTGAACTGCGTGGTGGGCTCTCAGGGTAAGAACATGCTACATTTGCATAATGCCTTTGGGTGAACTCAGTCGCCTTCGTCTTTTCTGCGTGAATCTTCTTACTGACTGCATTAGTTACAAGTCATGTGGGCTTTCAATTCCAGACCAATTAAACAAGAATCCAAAACAGCCTTCCCGCTTCACCAGTGGTTTCTAGGCTAGGGTCTGCCTGCTCGTAGTGATCCCCAAAGTGTTGGTGAGTTACTGTGGTTTCCCTAGCTCAGCGTCAGCGTGGTGACGCTGTGATCTTCTGGAATGGAAGTGCCCTCCCCTGTGGGGAGCCAAGGTCAGGTTTGGAGGGAACTGTTACATTTAGCAGAGCTGTGTTGTGATTAGGTAACGTAGAGGAAGCAAGAGCGATGGGTCAGCTTTTCATGGTCATTCACATTTTGGGGATGGAGGTCTGAAAAAGATAACAGGTTACAGAAGAGATGTGTTTTTAAAAAAACAACTCTCTTTTGGAAAGTCTTTATTAGCATTTTTCTGTACTAGGGCAGAACTGGAGGTGGAGAAGCAAACTGAACAGAAATCTGAAATGTGGAAGTAACATTAGTTTTAACCTCTAGTGCTATCTTGATGTTCCGTTAACTCGATTCAGCAAAATCCTTCTCCTTTCTTGTTTTCTGTCATCAGGTATGACCAAGAGAATAGTTAATGCAAAGATTGCATGCCTTGACTTCAGCCTGCAGAAAGCAAAAATGAAGCTTGGTGTTCAGGTTGTTATCTCGGACCCTGAGAAGCTGGACCAGATAAGGCAGAGGTGTGTGGAAGGTTGAGTAACTGACAGTGGGGTTTCACAGGCTTGTTTTGGTTTCTTCAGTTGAGCTGGCTTGGTGTAATTTTGGCTGAGTGCAAGAGGTTAAAAAGGTTTTAAATGTTAGCATTGCCCAACAATACCAACTATTAATGGTTAAAAGTCTTCACTTCTGGAGGCTGAAATAGTATTAAGTCAGTTTTTGAGAAATCCAGGTATGTTCGTGCAGTGGTCCCTTCTCCTTGCAGAGCTCTGCATTAAGATTTCAGGAAATGGGTTGACAGAATGTGATTGTAAATATTTAAATACGTTTGACTTTATCCTCGCAGAGAGTCCGATATTACCAAAGAAAGGATCCAGAAGATCTTGGCCACTGGTGCCAATGTTGTTCTCACCACTGGAGGTATTGATGATATGTGTCTGAAATACTTCGTTGATGCTGGTGCTATGGCAGTACGAAGAGTTGTAAAAAAGGACCTTAAGCGGATTGCTAAGGCGTCTGGAGGTATGTGTATATAGAAATATCTTATTTTTTTCATCTCTTTTTTTTCTTTTGTTAAGTAAAAGTTGTTGTTTAGGGTATTGGTAACTAATTTTCAAAGTATGGCTTCTTAATGTGCAAGCCATGCAAGGAGAGGATGAGTAGAGCTGAGCCACTCTTCTTAAGTTTTAACTTTACTGTTGCTTTTAAGTGACTTCTGTCAAAGTAGATGAGTACTGTAAGAGTTGTCTGTTGGAGATTTAGGGGGGAAAAAACACGCTGCCTTGCAGCTGTCCTCTTGCGGAAACCAGAATCTGTGTTTATTTAGAAGTCTTCATTAAGCACACATTCATAAGCCTCTGCTCAGAGGGTTGTATCAAGGGTATTGTTTAGATCGTTCAAAACAAATTAAGAACTCCTAAATCATTAAATACATACTGAAAAAAAAATCTGGTCCTATACAGGGTTGGTTTTTTTTTTTTCTGTCAATTCTTAAATTAGAAAGGAAGCATTTTCATTATGGTAAATAAAGCACAGAAGCTTGTACTAGCTGTGGAAAAATAAGTGCTGTAAAGATTGTGCAGAAAGAGCAGCGTCAATTATAAACTGTGGAATATTGAGTTGCTACCTGAGAATGAGAAGTGCTGCTGAATTTAAGAAAAAACTAATTATGTTGCTTTGATTTTTGTTTTCAATTTCTGGCTTTTCTTTCTGTATGCCTGTTCTGAGAAGTTGACAAAGGATGTGCTGGAATAGAATGCTAATTTCACTTTCTGATTTGTTTGTTAAAGCAACCATATGTTCAACTCTTGCAAACCTTGAAGGTGAGGAGAGTTTTGAGGCATTAATGCTGGGACAGGCAGAAGAGGTGATTCAAGAGAGAATCTGTGATGATGAGCTGATTTTAATCAAGAAGTAAGGATCCTTTTTAAAATACTCAAGTTTTCTGTATGCTTTCTACTAAGTTTGAGATAAAATCCCTTTTACTTCCATGCTGTCTCAGTGGTATGAGTAGTTGTGCCCATGGGAAAGAGGATACCAGTCCTCTGCAAATTAAGCGATGAAAGTATCAGTGTTTAATCTCCTTTGCTGGGGCTGGACACTTGTTTCATCAACCATGATGTGTGAGACAATCAGATTGCTAGATAGACCTTGCTTAAAATTTTGTTTATAAACAATTTTGTCTAAACTGGCTTCCCTTTACAGACAGTAAAGGGAAATAGGTACCATCTGAGTGATTTCATCTGAATAAGAAGGTGCAAGTGAAATCTTCACCATTTCTGGTAGAAGACAGGGTTTACTTGTGCTGGTTTCATTGAATCATTGAACCTGCTGGGTAGTATGAAATGGCCCGTATTGTTGAAAGGGTATTTGTTTTTAATGGGGTTTTAAGAGCAGCAACAATCACTAACTGTCCATACACATGGTATTTTCCATTAAGTTTTAGTATGCCACTGCTGTCTGGTACCTGAAGACTTGAGCATCAGTTTGCTGAACAAGAACATACCTCTGACACTAACTCGGCCCCTGCTTCAGTGTCCCCTCTCAGCGTTCAGCTTCCTGTAGCCTTGTTTGTGCGTGAACACTGACCGCGGTGCTTGTGTGGCAGTTACACGACTGCTTATACTGTAACGCTGGCATGAGCTCACTTGATGGCTATGCAAAAGAGAACTTTCTTAATACCTAATCACATTTTCCCCCTATTTGATGGGAAAGTACCTTGTCTGCCATGCTTTTGTTGGATAGCTTTCTCTAAAAGTCTGAAACTCAAATTGGGTTCTTGCATATTAGAAATTATTGACGTACTGAGTTACAATGTACATAGTCTGCGAGGGTGCGTAACAACGTTAAGATTTTCTTTTGAACATTGGAAGACTGGCTCAACTGAACTTGGCTTTAAAGAAAAAATTTGGCAAGACAAGTTTTAATTTGTATACAGCATGGCTGACTTCTGATTCCTTTTTTCCCTAGTACAAAGGCTCGTACTTCAGCATCAATTATCTTACGAGGAGCTAATGACTTCATGTGCGATGAAATGGAACGATCTATACACGATGCTCTCTGTGTTGTCAAAAGGGTATTGGAATCCAAGTCTGTTGTCCCAGGTGGTGGTGCTGTGGAGGCAGCACTTTCAATATATCTTGAAAATTACGCGACCAGCATGGTAAGCCTTGCAGGAAGAGGTAACGGTGTGTGCGTGTTAAACTAGGACAGGGTGAATTTTCAAGCGTTTATTTTCTTCTACTAGAAGTTGGTTCTGTGGTTGATGAAAACCTCATCATCTTACAGAATGTAAGATGCATCTTTAAAATGGAGGATAAGTTATTCTTTCTCTGATAATTAGACTCTATGTGTGATTCTTTGACTTAAAAATAGATTTTGCATGTCAAAACCCATACCTACTGTTGACACTCTTGATTGTTGCTGTATTTGATTGTTGCTGTATTTTTTTCCTCTTCTATTGAAACAATTTGTTTAAAAACTTTTTCCTCTTTCTAGGGATCACGTGAACAACTTGCAATAGCAGAGTTTGCAAGATCCCTCTTAATAATTCCAAATACGTTGGCAGTAAATGCCGCTCAGGATGCAACAGATCTTGTTGCGAAGTTGAGAGCGTTCCACAACGAGGCTCAAGTTAACCCAGATCGTAAAAATCTGAAATGGCAAGTATCTGCCTGTAGGAAGGCTGTTAAAAGCGAAGTGGGTGGGTGACTTAAGTGGAGAATTGTTCTGCCAGTTTATTGAACCATCATTTGCATGAAAAAAAAAAGTGGTGTAGGTTATCACTGAACTCTTCTCCCTCTGTCCTTTAGTCCTATGTGTACGGGGACCTAACAGTAGTTAACTGTCATACGCCCAACTGTGTTTTGGCTTTTCCTACCTCTCCGTCTGACAAGATTTCTTCTTTGCAGGATTGGTCTTGACTTGATCAATGGAAAACCTCGTGATAACAAGCAAGCTGGTGTCTTTGAACCAACCATGGTCAAAACTAAGAGCCTAAAGTTTGCAACAGAAGCTGCGATTACTATTCTTCGAATTGATGATCTTATTAAACTGCACCCTGAAACTAAAGAGGAGAGAGGGTGCTATGAGGATGCAGCTCACTCTGGAGCACTTGAAGAATAACTTAGGTTTTATTTATGTTTGTCTAACTTACACTTCCCACTCTTGTAACTAAGATGTTAATAAAACAAGTGGTTGAATTCTGCTGCTATTTTCTCGTGAACAAATTTAATTTTTGAAAGTGAGGTTGGTCCTTCCATTAGGAATTTAAGCTGTAGCATGTTTAACAGATAGAGTGCCTGCAGTAGCCACTGCTCTTTTTGTCAAGGCACTCATTAAGTGGCAAAAAGTAACGGAGTAAGCTCATTTAATTTGGGGCAAAACAAACAATGTAAGCTTCATGATCAGAAGTTTATTAGTAAACTGTTTCAAAGCTAGTTCACGCTAGCCCTCTGTTCATTCACATTCATCTCTCGACGCACATGGCTATTCCCATTCCTCCTCCTATGCAGAGAGCAGCGACACCACATTTTCCACCTGTTCGTTCCAGTGCATGTAGAAGAGTAACAAGGATGCGGCAGCCAGAGGCACCAAGCGGGTGGCCGAGAGCAATAGCTCCACCTTGGATATTAATCTAAAATAAAGAGCAAAGCCAATACAAAAGGTCAAGTCAAGAAACTATTTAAACTAGGTTAGCTGAGTTTCAACAGGAGTGACTTCACTGGACATAGTCCTTGATTGTGAATGAGCCTGAAACTGCTGCCGCCAGGTCAAGGAGACAGTGAACATGGATGCCACAGCTGTTAATAATTAGCTTTTCTTCCAAAAGGACCCATCTTTACTCTCTGAAGATAATTAAGGCGATAATTGATGTGAGTTTAGGGAGGAGGGAAGAATGACATTGCTGGAAGAATACAGTGGCAAATACACTTCCAGCAGCAAGTTCAACGGGGGCAGTTAACTGTAAGTGCGCTCAAGCAGCGATTGAAGACAGCGTTGCAGCCCGTTCAGCTGGGAAGGGGCGTGCCTGCTGGCAGGGCAAGGCAAGGCTACTGCTGAGCGGCGTGCGGAAACACTGACGAGAGTTCCCGTCCTTTCTGCGTACAGCAAAGTGACTGTGAGGGGGCCGTTCTCTTCGGAGTACAATCGAAGTGTGCAGAAAGGAACAACTTTGAGTTACAGGAGGCAAACTAATTATGGCCTCAAATGCGTTCATTACCTTTTCTGGATTGACTTTCAGTTCTTTTGCTATTGCAACAGAGAGTGATGCAAAGGCTTCATTAATTTCAAACAGGTCAACTTGTTCCAGAGTCCAGCTGGCTTTGTCAATCTGAGAAAACAAAATAAGAGGTTTTATTAGCTTTTAGGTCTTCAGCACCAGAGGAAGCTTTTTGTAAGACTTAAATTGGGTGATTTGAAGTCAGCACTTCTAAAAAGTTGAAGGAAACATTTTACTTTTTTTGTATAGCCAGGGTTGATGACATAATTCTTGAAGCAACAGACAAAACTTCAGCGTCAGCAAAGGTCAGTACCATGTGCTATAACATGCTGGCTGCTCTTAAGAAATCTTGACTAATTTTACACACGTAGTGGTGCAATTGTGGAAATTAAACCATATGTGGGCCCTTAATACAAGTAAGTTGCCACTTGAAGCTTCTCACAGGTGCCTATTTTGGAGATGCTTTGGCTCATGTTTTCACTTGAGAAACTCTTGTGGTGCAATTGCCTACTTGGGTACAGGCTTAAGCATGTTTCACATACTTACATTTTTACTTCCACTCGCTTTGTTTCTAACAACAATCCTTTTATCTGCAGAGACATCTGCAGCCATGATGTTTCACAACTAGCTAGCCAGACTTGCATATATCCAGGACTACAGTCAAGGAGGAGGGCCTCTTTCTACTAATTACAGACAGTATGGAAACTGTTCACCTGGGAAAAGTCTTTTAAGATTTACTGTGGTGTTGTGACATCATAGTGAGAGGAGGTCTGGGCCTTGCATTTTAAAGTGCTACTATGAAATTCTGAAGAGATAAACTGATAATATAGAGAAGGGTGTAAAGTGTTTGGTAAGTTTACATTAAGAAGCAGGGTGCCCTTTTTTCCAGAGCACCTATAAAATTATAGGTACTGTTAAATACAGCTTGTGTGTTCCACCATTTAAACTAAAAACGTGTGTTGTGTATACATTTACAGAATTCTTCATTTAAAAGAACAACTTGAGATCTGATAAGAAAAAGCTTTAGCATTACAGTTCTGATTTTCCCTTTAAAAGCCCAGAGCTTGGATGAGTTCAAGTTCGGCTTGTGCATTGCCAGGACCTTCAGAGATGAACAAAAGAAGGCCTTTATACAGTAAACATAAAACTAGGAAGGAATACTAAAGCGAATCTATCATCAGCTGTACAGGAGCTCTTTTCACGCTCAGTTTCATAGCTCAGTTTGAACAAATAATCAGCTGGGGCTGCCACGGGCTATGCCTCTGTTGGCAAGCAGCTGGTACCACAGGGGCTGCTCATTCGGGGAGTTTTATTTGAGAACCTTGTCCTGTGGTCTGAACACAGCGCATTGGGGGGTGATAATGGTCTGAGCACATCAGACATGCTTCTGGAGCACACCTTCTTGTGTAGTTTCACCTGAAAGGAACCCAGTTTGCATGCTCCGACCCTTTCGCAGGGGAAACACACACAAAGGGCACCATCGCGTTTGCTAATGCAGACGCACTCGCTGGCCCTTCTCTCAGCCTTGTGCTATTGCAGTACGATCAGGCAGCGATCTGAAAGTTAACCTGGCCAGACACAACATCAGAACCCTATCGCGGCAGGACCAAATCACCTCCAAATTAGGTTGGCATACACATCCATGAAATCTGATCTTTAGCCTCCTAGGTTATCGAGGTGGCCTTTCACAGACCTGACTAGTTTATGCTCTGAACTCCACTCGTACACCTAGACTTTTTTTTTTCCCCCCAATGAGCAGGCACCAGCCTGGTAGCACTAGAAATCTTAATCTTATATACTCTCTGCTATTTTAAGTCTTGGTTTCACTTAGTTAATTTTTTCTACTAAGTTTTCCTTAGAATACAGAAAAACCAGGACATGGCCAGAAAATGAAAAGTGATTATAAGCAAGAGTTTTTAAATAATAGATACGCAGATAGATAGATAATTACTTACAGCTTGCTTTATTGCTGAAATGGGCCCTACTCCCATTATAGATGGATCTATACCTGTCTGAGCCCAAGAAACAATCCGAGCCAAAGGCATAAGACCTCTCCTCGCAGCTTCCGATTTCTTCATCAGAACTACGGCGGCAGCTCCATCATTTATACCTGCAGAATGACAAACAACTTGGATGTATTTGTTGGGTTTTATGGCTTTTACTGTACCACCTTTTCCTGCCTGCATACATTCACAATCTAGGCAAAACAAAACCCAGGAATCTTCTATTGGTTTAGGGCAGTATTGTTCAGATCAACCAAGTCTGACCTCTGACAGAAAGTCTTAAAGAGGGTAACACATCTATACTGCTGTAAATGTGACACGTTCGTGATTTCTATTTGGAAAGCAGCAGGTGTAGAATTGAGACACAACCTGACAATGAGCACATCGGATTTATTAGGTAGCCTCTGGAAGAGGCAGCATAAGGACCAAGGAAGAAGTTTCAAAGCTGCCTGTGGCAGGACAGTTAGTCCCACAGGAGTAACATTTTCCAACATGAATCATTAGGTTTTCCTTTGTCCAGACGTGCAGTATTAGAAACCACTAGACAGCCAGATACAGAGGGGATGGCGTTTCCATTTGTACCAGCCTACCAAACATTGCTGTTACTGCCCAAACGCTTGTATGGTTTTACAGGAAGCAAGCAGACAAGAGACAACCCATCTGTAAAGAAATCCTCCACCACAGTTATATTCCAGTTCTACCTATGTTGTCAAACATGTTGCCATTTCCTGCAAAATACATTCAGCAGTAACTGCGGTAAAACCTAACCCTTGCAGAGACCCTCCCTTGAGCCACGAGCAGCTACTGTTCTTCTCCATGTCAGTTTTGGCCAGATGGACAAACCTGAAGCGTTAGCTGCTGTTACTGTCCCAGTTCCGTCCGTCAGGAAACAGGGCTTTAACTTTGCCATTGTTTCCAAGTTGCTCCCGTGTCGAGGGTGTTCATCTGTTTTAACTTCTACAGGACCTGCAAAACAGAGCGTTATACTCACAGGAGGGTCTAATCACACACACACATGCCTCGAGCAGAAGGCCAGCGTCAACAACAGGCCGATCGGGAATACTTGCCGTATTCCTTGTGACCAACAAGCCAGCCTTACGTCAGAGATAGCTTCCAACTCAGCGCAGCTGTTTAACAAACTGCTCTAACCCTCCAGCTGCTTCTAGCAGGACAGACAGCTGGGTTTCCTGAGACAAACACTAACACCTAAAATACTGTCTAGCTGTACAAAAGCAGATCTTGTTCCTGCTGTTCCTAAGCCAATGGTTTCTCTTGCAAGCAGAAGGATATCTCATGGCAAAGTATTATTATCTGAACTGGTATCAAGAAAGCCCTTCATTAATTTGTACCCAGCCTAATGCCAGAACTTTTCCCACAGCCCCTATTCAATGCAAATGTTGAACAACTGATTGTTGATTTCTGTTTGGAAAATTCAGTTTTGCACCCACCTCACAAGGAGCTGGGGGAATTCCCCTGCTCTAGAAACAGACCTGTGGCTCAAGCACAGGTTATAACCCTAACAGACCTAACGAGAAGCATACCTAATACACATAACCTGACCTAGTTCATTAACTAGTAACCCTAATTATTGTCACTGTGTATTTTACTAGGTGGGCAAGGTTTGCCAGACCCACATGACTGTTTGAAGTTTGGTAAAGGAGGAGTCTAACAAAACAAAAACCACTGATGTGGTTTAGTGGGCATGGTGCTATCAGGTCAACGTTTGGACTTGATGATATTAGAAGTCTATTCCAACATAACAATTCTATGACTCTATGATTTTGGTACCATAGCCAAGCCCATGTTAAGTCAGTGGTTTGCCTGGGTAGTAATTACATCTCTAATAAGAGCTACATTTAGATATTCCACATTTGCGTTGCTTCTCTCTTACTTAAAATATAACCATTGAAAGTTGAAAAAGTGAGCAACAGGCTACATACTTACAGAACGGCTTACAGAAAAGGCTGGACAAGTGGGAAACCATCCACTGATTATAGAAGACATAGTAGAAAACAGATTTTTTTTTTCTTCTTCTTTAAAATCAGCTCTCGTTATCCATTCACACCCACCTTTTTTAGAAGGTACAAGAACAGGAACAATTTCTTTTGTAAAATAGCCAGCTTTCTGTGCTGCCTCTGCCCTGTTTTGTGACTGTACAGCAAGTTGGTCCTGCTCCCCTCTGCTGATTTGCCACTGATTGGCCACATTTTCAGCTGAAATAGGAACAAAATGCAAACTGCCATCAGGAAATGCTAAAATTTTAGGTTGTAAAATTGTAAGCACAAAGGTAGTCACTAATGTTTGCTATAGCAAGCAGCTAAGCTTGTTGAACGGTTTTCATTCTGATTCCCTCATTTTGTTTGCTTATGATATTCTACTATATTTTCTTTTGAGGGTGAAAATTTCTCTGTGGGATCCTATCCCAGGTGTTATATCAAGTTAAATGCAAATACAAAGAAATCTAGTTTGTTGCTTCTATGGATTATTATGCTCAGATCCCTCTACAGCTACTTCAGAGAAGGGAACAGTTCTGGAGCTACTCTGTTTCATAAGCAGGGTCTGAAAAAGCGGTTGGCTGACTATCCCATCCAGGGTGCAACAACCTGAATTCGCAGAGCCATGTGTATCCACAGTACACTTTACGAAATCCCTGCCCGCTGTAAATCTGTGCTGCTTAATGCTCCAGCTACATGCAGGGGTTATTTTGTTTATTTTTCCTGAAACTAAATTAAATTGTTCAGATGCAAAAGCGATGCAGTGAGATTAGCTCAGACAGAAAAAAAACACCCCGAACAGTAGCTTTAGAAACAAAGCAGAAAATGCCTTTGATGCCTTTCAATATTAGGGAATTCTTTCTTTTTCATGACTACAACTAAGACAGCTTGAAATGCATTATTTGAAACATCAGATTTCTGAAATTTCCTGTCAGTGAACCCTTCCCCCCCTCCCCAGTTAACCATTTGATTTTCTGGACTGTCACCACTTACCTGTTATACCCATATGATACTGATAAAAAGCATCTGTAAGGCCATCAAGGATTATAGTGTCCTGCAAGGAAGCCTCTCCCATTTTCACCCCAGCTCGCATGTGGATGACATGAGGAGCCTGCAAGAAGGTATTTCGAAAGGGGTTGGATGTTTTGTATCTCCAGTGCACAATACAGCCAGAAGCAGAAGAGACAGGCCTGGTCTGTCAGCTGGCACGGTCTGTTTGGTCTGTGCATTTCCCCAGCAGCAGATCACCAAGCAGCAAGCGCTTTCTCGCCACAGATGGAATCAATCGTCCCTGGGGCCGTACGGCCGTAGGTCCCCCATCCCACCAGCCTGCTCTAGGTGGTTCCCGATCACACTCCACTGAAGCCAACGCGAAGGTCACTCAGCACGGGCAGATAGCGAGCCCCGGCAGAAGAGGCCACTGCTGCTTCAGCCATCAGATCACCGGCCCAGCACCATTCCTCAATACAGCCTTGGGATGAACACCTTGAAATAAAGGTGCCTCTCCAAGCTCAGTTTGCTTGGTGAACAATAACGTTCCCAGTTATCCCTTCTTTGGGCTTCTTGCCACACAAAAAACCTGCCTATTTGCCATCTGTCACAAGCAAGTCATTCAGCACAACAGGGCTGGATGGAAATTAAGATGGAATTTTAAATATGGTGTGTGTTTGCATGGCACCTTTTCAGCAGCTACAGTATCAGGGTTTTTTTTAAAAAAAACAAACCAAAACCAAGCTACGGAAGTCAATTACGGCACGTGTAAATTCATTCCCAAGTGCAGAAACTGAAGCTGCTCTTTCCAATCTGCCTCCAGAGCGCTAGCCTAGAAACACAGCGCTTCAACATGACCTGGTGTTGTTCTATCCCAGTAAGCCAGCACAACGCGAGTGCAATCATTTGCTTTACCTTGCTCATACTTTCCATCCCTCCTGCGACCACGATGCTGGAGTCCCCCGTCAGTATGGACTGAGCAGCCAGACATACCGCTTTCAAGCCTGACCCACAGATCATCTGGCAGCTCCAGGCGGGCACAGAGTAAGGGATTCCTGCAGCAACACTTGCCTGACGGACGGGGTTCTGGCCCGCACCTGCAGGAAAAGGCAGCATTTTTCCTTTGTCTGTTCTTAAAAAACAAATGTCGGCCTTCTCACTTTTCACAGCAGGTACCCCAATCCCACTCAAATTTAGAGCTTGCTCCTATTTTCAGTTGGTAAATAGATAAGTTCCCAGTGGCAATCTGCAAACAGGAGCTCAGCTACCTCTCTCATTTATATCATTGACCAATAAAATATCTGCAAGATCAGTGACTTGCTACTGATAGTTTTATATCTGCAACTCTGCTTTTGATGGCAGGTCAGATGAAACACCAACTTCAGATTAGCACTAGCCTGTTGTACAATGTGTAAGACGACAGCTCATTTAAATTGCTACTCGCTGAAGGGTTTCTTTTTGACAGCCGTACAGCACCAGCAGACAACTTTCCCTCAAAGGTCCTACAGAGACCAAAAGCACAATTATGCAAGGACAGTCCTGAAAGCTCCCATTCTTTGTTGTAATCCTTCTGGAGAGAATAGGAGTGCTTTATTCAAAGAAAGCATTCTTTATCTGCACCTCCTCAGGCCAAAGTAATGCCAGCTCTTTGTATGCAAGCAAATGGGTAAGGAGAGCACATCATTCGGTAATCTAAAAATATACAGGAATCTGAATCAGCTTTAAGTAAGACAAAAATACTGATCTCCTTTATTTTCTTCCTTCATCTTTAAAATACAAAACTGCCCTATGACTCCGTTGATTAAACATTACCCTGGAAAAAGCAGGGGACCGTTCAAAACAAACAATTCCTTACCAGCCATGCTTCCATTAAATCAAAATATCTGTCTCCAAGCAAGTGGCATCGCAGATCCCGCAGGCGGGTTTTGCAGACCAGCACTAATGCAGGCCTCACCCCTAAAACCTCAGAGTTATGACTACTTATGATGTTAAATTTATGAGAGGACATGGCCAACGCAAGAAAAGGGAAGCCATAACAAAGAGAAGAACTGACTTTCACACATACACTGTTACCTACTTTCGGGGATTTAAAAATAAAGCGAACCATCCCCCCCCCACCACATCCTTTCCAAAAACCCAGCAATGGGTTCGGCCATCCAGAGCGCGCGGAGAGGCGGCCAAGGTGCCGCTCGAGTCCTTTGTTAACGAGCCACGTTCTTAACGGCAAGGAACAGCGCTCCGGCACTCGAAACCCGAGCCCTTCCCTTGGGACAACGGAGGGGACGTGGCCGTGGAAAGGAAGCACCCGCCCGGCCGAGGCA